TTTTTGGTACTCCGCGACTCTCTCTCTCTCTCTCTCTCTCTCTCCCTCATTTTTTCTCTTCTCGTCCTCTGCTGGAGGAAATCTGTCTCTCGTGGCCTGGATCGATCCTCTGAAGTCGTAAACGTTCGAATATCGATCCAAATGTTTATCTGTTGTTGGTGGATGGAATGGTTGAAATGGAATTTCGAGTTGTTTGAGAGGATTTTTATTTTGTGTACAAAGGGTTTCTTTGAATTTCGATTGTAGAGCATTAGTAATTAAACTTGTTTTGTTACTCGAGAAGAAGAAAAAAAGGAAAAAGAAGGCAAGGATTTCACCTTGAATCGATTTGCGCAAAAAGCGAAGGCAAAAAAAAAAAAAAAGAACAAATGCGATAATACAATTATTTTCCATTGCTTCGGATTCGATCTTAATTAAGATTCGATCTAATTTTTTACGAGACACCTTCTTCGAGTCGAATTGGGAATCTTGGAACAAATTATTCGATTCATAAATTCTTTACTTTCATTATTACTGTCCATCGTTCAAAACAAAAGATTCGACGGAATAGTCTTCGATAGAATGATTCTTCGTCACCCATCCTTCCTTACATATCTCCAAAAAGGTTCTTCAAATTTCTTTATATTCGTACATTTACATCTTTTATATGAAACTCGATCAAACAATCGTTCAATCCAAATTTCTTTGTATTTCCAACTTTTCCATCTTTTATCTCTCCCTAATATTCAAATTCGATCGATGTTCATTTTAAAATATCGGTGTTTAATAATTATTCAGCTCATAAATGTAACTCTTCCTCCCCAAAAAGTTGCCCAAATTCATATTTTATCTCCATCTAATATTCGACCGATTTTAAAATATCGGTATATCGACAATTATTCAACTCACAAATGCAGCTTTCCCATAAAAAAAAAAGTTGCCCAAAGTTTCCATCTCGCTTCCTTATCCTCCCTCCCTTCCGTGCCCGGAATACGTTTCGAGCTCGAGGAGCGCGTAGGGAAGGCCTCGAGTCGCGCTCGAAACCCGATCACGAGGCTGGTTGCGTAGCGAGGCAGGGGCCGGGGCACCGTTAGGCGGCAAGATATCGCCGATTGTCGAAACGGGGCCGGCGAAACGGCGTTAGATCGCCGCGAGTGAGTTATCGATCGGCGGGGTAATGAATCGAGAGCCGAGCCGTGTGCCGTGATCGGTAACGGTAAAATATGCCCCGTTACACCGACAACAATAGATCGATTCGTAATTGCTCCTCTCTCTCTTTATCTTATCCCAGAGGATAAGCGCGAATTCTCGTGGGAGCCGCGAATTAACTCCTCGCCCGGTGTTGATTTCATCATCGGACGAGGATATCCATCCCGTTTCTCCGCGATCTCTTCTCTTCGATATTTTTATCTGCACAACTTTTATAGACAAGGTTCGATAATATTGTTTATTGTTTCAAGGAGATGATTTTTGATGGACATTTGATCATTTGAACACGAGTTGGTGATATAAAAATATTTTTTATCAATACGAATCGTTCGAAAGTTTCTATGGATACAACGGCGATCTGTAGATTTGATCGGAGGAGGGGGGATTCCACGATGCATCATGTTTTATAATTGCGAATGGGTATAGAGCGTATATAATGATTTCGTAATTAATTTCTAGATTTTTTTTTTCACCTTTATTACGTATATAAAGAACATAAATCTTATATATAAAAAGAATTTTAATGGGATAAATTTATATACATTATATACATATGTATATAATTATAATCGAGGAAAATATACAAAATATAGTAACGAATCGGGAACGAATTTCTTTGAATTCGAAAAAATTATCCCTCGCTAATTTTCTCATAATCTAGAACGAGCAAGATAAGATATACAGAACGTAGCTTGCTTCAAGAGCGAATGAATATTTTGAACGTAGTGTGAACGGGTGAGGGGCATCGAGGGTTTAAGGATATCGATCAGAGTTGAAACGCGACACGTTTTATGTAATTTGCGCGATGGTACAACAGCAACGTCAATTAATACCGTATTACGAAATCTCTGGCTATTTGCATCACACGGACGTTGCCCATCTGTGTCTAGGCCTCCCAGCCTTCTGCAGCTTATTCAAAGACATTCGTTATTCTTGCTGCTACGCCGCCGATTACAAACCGGCCGTTGCGCAATCCGTACTCGCGCTTCTTCTCCCTTTCAATCGCCCTTTCCCCATTTTCCTTTTCGTTTATCCTTTCGATAATAATAAAAAAATTGGAATTTTACGCGTGCTCGTTGATTGAATTTCGTTGCAACTTTTCCCCAACTTGTAAAACTTTCATCGAATAAATAAAACGTACAAACTTTTGTCGATTACGAGGGAAAATTTTTTTAGTACTAATTTCTAATTACGAGGGAAAGGATCGAATTTCTCCCACTCGTGAAATTTATTTTACGAGCCAGCAACGAAACTCGAGATCGCTAGCTCGCTCGCTCGCTCGCTCGTTCGAAGATACGATAGTAATTCTGTAAACAAACGCCTCTGTTGTAAACAGAAGGAGGGAACCTTGAAACTTTCATTAATAACAAGATTTCCACCGAGGCGACAGCCGAATAGATAAAACGAAACGAAAAGTGCCACGTACCATTCGACGAACGATTCTCGATTCTGCACACCTGCTTCTGTAATCGTGGGTTGCGTAATATCGGTAATTGAACATGCTACAAGCTTTGCATAAATAAAAATATATACATATATATATATATATATATATTTTCTCGGGAAGAAGGTTGAACAGCTCGCTCGAAAGAACTTTGTTCCGATCGTTCGATAACTAGTTTCTCGTTCCTTTCATTGGAGACGCGATTTGCATCCCATTAGAAACGGGATCATCCGATTCTATTTTTCCATCCATCGTCACAATCAATCGTTCGATTCCTCGTGATCTTCTCGATCTCGCTTATAAAAACCTGCAATAATCGATTATTCATGCGTGAGTTTATAATATATGTTTTTCTTTCATGACAATGAAACACCAACTCGTTTCACGCGATCACGAACAATCGAATTCGATCTCGTAGCGATTTCTCGAGTTATATATCATGTCGATCAGCTTCAATTAGAACGAAATGTTACTTACACCTTCTCCATAAACTTTTTTCTCGCTTGAACAGCATTCTTATCTTTTCGGTAAGAAAGAGGTAAAATACGCCGAAAATGCTTCTTCTGATCTGATTGCATCTTGTGTTATTACGCACGAAAAACACAATCGCGCACAGAATCGAACGAATTTTTCTTATAAACGAACCATGAAATGCCAACTCTCAAAATATATAACAACACGGTTTAGAATGAAGTTGGCTGGATAAAACGTTCGACTAGCGACACTCGTGTGAAAAAACGAAATTATTTTTCGAACCACTCAGTGTAATCGCGTCGCGATTAAGGGATAGCTTCGTCTCTTATTGCGCATTTTTTATTCGTTGCGATCGCATCTTGCGAAACGTACGATGGAGGATAAATACTACGTACTGATTTGAGAAGAAAAAATCGACAATTTTTCAATCCTGTGATCTCGCTTACTCTAATTAATCTCAAGTAACCTATGTTTCTCGCGAAGACAATTTTTTTCACGGTTCGTGAATTTAAGATGGCGTGACGAGTCATGTTTTGGCGATTCGAAAGAGAGGATTAGAAATTTTAATGCGCAAAAGTTTTTATGGTTGTTATACGTTACATCGGAACAATTATTTTTTTATAAATTTGAAAATAAATTTTCTTTTCACTTTTAATACATCGTTCGAACCACTGTGTGTGACGTGTCTGATCTGAGACTCCGGTGATTAACGCAAACACGGAGAGGTTTAAAAAGCAGCGACGGTCAAAAATAATGTCCCTTGTGCACAGTCGTTTAACGAAAGGCGACGAAAATAAGGATGGTGGGGTTGCTCGCGCAAGAAAGAGACGAGACGGACGGATAAATCACTGGCCGAGACGGAGTCGCAGACAAAAATCGTAAAAGAAAGGAAGGAACATCCTCCTCGATGCTCGATTTTTCTTCGTTCGTAGATTTTGATTTTCACGGGGATTCTGTGAATCGCTCTTTCGACTGGATATTGAGGAAGGAAAGATGACCGACAGGAATAGAGAAGGGTGTGTCGATAAGAAAGGAAAAGCATTCTATAGAGAAGGTAAGAGCATTCTATTTGTTGGTTTGTGATTGGAAAATAGCAGGACATAGAGGAAATAGAGGAATAAAATAAAAGTATTCTTTTTTTTTTTTTTTTTGAGAGGAAGAGAAGAATTTGTAAAAGTAAAATATATGGAGGATAAAGATTTGGCAAGCTTCCATAAATATGAAATACGGAGAATAAAGGAAAGTTAGAGATGTCGAGAAAGAAAGCTATTTTTTTTCTACGAATTTACGAGTAGTTGATCGCACAAACGAAAATTTAAAATGGAAATTTTTTTGTTAATCCTTCGATTCGATATCGTTTCGTTATTCGATGATTCGGCGTTAAGAAACGAATTCGATCGCGCGCGGACGACGAATTTCCAAGCCTTTTTTAAACGTTTGGCTTCACGACCCGCGACTATTTTCGGGGATTTTATTCCTGTCAGGAGGAGGACGGCCATCTCTCTCTCTCCCCGCTTCCCCGTTTCAAACGCTTTTTTTCGTCGTGTCTCGATCTCTTTTTCCGACATCTCGAAAGGGCCACCGCCTCTTGTCCCGCGTTTCAACGCGTCTTCGTCGCAACTAGTGAAAGCCTGCAACCTTGATTTTATAACAAAGGTTGCGGCGAATGCGCTTCGTAACTCGTTGCCTCATCGAGCATTCGGATTCTCTCTCGTTCTTTCTTTCTCTCTTTCCTTTTTTTTTTTTACTAACTTCTTCGCGGATTATCATCCATCGATCGTATCACACGCTCCTCTCGAATCGAAAATTATATTTGAAATTATTCAACAATTTTTTCCTATTTTTCAATCTCCATTTTTCTCAGAATCTGCCGAGAATTATAATATCGTTAAAAACTTTTTCTAAATAAATCGAAATTTTAAATTGAAATTTCTTGTTCTTCGAGTTTTTCGATAAATCGATCGAAATCGTTCGAAAATCGATCTCGATCGATTCTGCCTCGTTGCTCGGTGTGGAAAGATGGGATCGAGAGAGACTCGTCGATTGGTATTGCGACGATAGCGCAATGAGAATGCAAATAAGGAGATACGCGTGCCTGTTAATTGCACCCGATGATATCGAGTCGAATAATAACAATCGAACTGCGCCTGAAGAAAACAAACTTTTTCAATGATAATGCAACTCTTGATAA